AACAATATCGACATTAAAAATCACAAAATTCAGAGTTTGAGTTGCACAAATTCCTGTTTTCACTCAAAACCTAATCTACGTTCTTATCTTACCCTTCTACATTTGTATTAACTTTAAATTATTAAAAATTACTTAAACCATGCTTTTTTTCCTCTTAAAGAAATTTACATGTGGTCTTAAATTCATGTTTCATCGTGATCACCCGATTCACCACAATCCAAATACTTCAATTGCCTGAAACTTTTTGACTTAAAAAGACTTAAGAAACCAGTAAGACACATGCAATGAATTTCGTATCTTTATTAAATTAAAAAAAATAGTGAAATTAGTACTACATGCTCAAGTCTATCTTGTTCTAAACAGTAGGATCTGAACGCATATAATATATTACCACAAAAAAAATATAAAAAAAAATTCAGTATGCTGTGTATGTAGTCAAAGAATAAATAATCCTCCTTCAATCATCGTCAAAAAGGCCGTCTCAAAAATTAACCACGAAATTTAATGTTGTTGTTGAAAGTTCAACTACGAGATATTTTAGTTGTGGTGTTCTAAATTTTGTGGTTGGTTAAAAATTTTGACTATCAAATTTTCGTTGATGTTTTCAACATGAAAGAAAATTTGTTGTAGAAACTTCTTTTAATAATGAAAATAAAATAATATAGGAAAAATTGCAGCAGTAGTCCTTAATCTTTTCAATTTTTGTATATTTTACCTTAACCTTCAATTTGTGCCAATGAACGTCCCTATCCTTTCAAAAATATGTAGTTGGAGTCCAAACGGATGGAAAGCATTCATTTGACCGTTAATTGACCAAAAAAATTAATTTTGACCAAATTTGTTAAGGACAAAATGGTAACTCCACAAATTTAACATAAAATAATTAAAAAAGGAAAAAGGAAAAAGAAAAAAGAAACCTACCCACTCCACCCCCACTCTCATGAAAAACCCAGAAGCCGGTTTATCTGCTTCCCCTTCTTCCTCATTCCCACCCACACCGGTGGTAGAAACCGACATCCAAAGGTTGATCACCACAAACACATCACAATGTCGGCATCGTCGCTCAAAGGCCGGTGCCACCACTCAAATCAAATTTTACTTTCATAAATCTATTGAAGCATTATAATAGTTTTGATTTTCATTTTTCCATTTTATGATATTCGATTGTGGTTATGTGGAGAGTTGACGATCAATAGTGATGGTCGTTTGGCAGAGATCCGAAATTTAGATCTTTGGTAGTGGTTTTGGGGTTTGTTGATTTTGAAATTGGCAATGAACAGCGAGTTTTTGTAGGGTTTCGAAATTGCAAAGAATTTGAAATCCTTGTCACTCTTGGTTGTGGGTTTTCATTGCAGAGATTGTTGGCGATTTGAGATGATGATGGCGGTATCCATTTAGGGTAGTCGTCGTTCGACTATGGGTTTGATTTTCGAGTATGGTGTGATTTTCGATTATGGGTCTGATTTTCGAGTATGATGGTGGTAGAGGTTGCCGAAATTGGTAGTGGGTGGTAGTGAGGGAAGTTGTGGTGGCGGTGGTCGTAGTGTAGGTACAAGGTGGCGATGGTGACTATTTTCGGTAGGTCTTGCCGGAGAAAAAGAAGAGTCGCAGTTTTGATTTTGTCCAGGGGGTGGATGGGCTGGGGAGTGTTAGATGAGGTTATTTTTGTTTTTTTATTTTGTTTTTTCTAATTTTGTTTGGTATATGGAATTAACTAACTATTTTGCACTTATCAAATTTGGTGAAAATCAATTTTTTTAGTCAACTAATGATCAGTTTGGACCCCATCTGTATATTTTCGAAAGGTTAAAGACGTTTGTTGGCACAAATTGAAAGTTAGGGTAAAGAATGTAAAAATTAAAAAAGTTAGGGATAGCTGCTGCAATTTTCCAATAATATATTCATTGTTAAATATCACTTACTATCTAAAAAATATTCATAGCTAAAATCACATTTAACAGTGAAATATAAAGCTACTCGTTAAAAATTTCTATCTGTCGTTAAAAATGTTTTAAACAATAAAGCTTCTAAACTTAAAAATGCCACAACACCGTAATAATAAAGATAAGTTGATGTCTATGAAATGAGATGTTAAAACACAAGAATAATACTACTTGTACATAATGAAGTTATATAATAATTTACATATAGATAAAATATCAAAAAGAGCGTCGGGGAATTTTTTTATTTTAATTTGGTTGAGAAAATTCTGATTCTATCATATCTTACAACATTATGTGTATATAAATCATTATGTACATATAGTATAACCAAGAAAACAACTCACAAATAAAAATAATAAAAAAGGGTAATTGACTTCCAGGCAGATGTAATATTTGTTTCTTCTTGTATATCTATTTTCTGTACGTACAGCTTAACAGTCATTGGATATTGCCCAAAAAATGTAGTGTTAGCAGCCAATACAGTGCTGCCAACATTGCATCTAGCACAATTCGTAATATGTACCTATTCATTTCTCGATTATTTGACTCTCGATCAAAGGTATAAACTTCTTGGTTGAAGAAAAGACAATGCAAATAAGATGGGTTCAATTTTGTAATTATCCTTGCTGCTTAGTTGGATAGGAAGGTCTAAGTGGCAACCTACAATTAGCAGCTTCATTGATACTTGGATTGTGCTTCTTTAGATTGCTTATGAGCCGTTTGATTTAATCAATAGCTGTGACCACTCCATGGTCTAATATGACCTTTAGTTAGGTGACTTTTCATTCAGTTTGTATGGTTTTCTGATTTTTGAGTCTCTCATATTTTCTCTCTCTAAGCTTCTTTCGTCTCCTTGTTCTTTGATTTTGGCGATCTTTCTCGTAAGATATGTGCAAAACTTCGTAAAAGTTTCCCGCTATAGTAATCTTTAGGTCCACGATACTGGTTGTATGTTGTGGTTTTGTTCTAGGTACTTTGGTTCATTAGATTGGTTCGATTGAGTCGTATTTTAGAACCTCCTAAGGACCCTTAAAGTTTTGTTGAGCAAGCAAGAATGCAGCCTTTGAGTCAAAACTTCACTTTCAAGGGTGCCATCAGTGTTTAATTTTACTGGGCCTGCAACAAAATATCCATCTTTAAAAACTACTGAATTTACTTAACAGTTAAATGAATAATAAATTTTAAGTTAAGCCAAACAACTTATACAACTACATAAAAACTTAAATTTTGCTGCCAAAGCTAATACACAATTTCAGGAGGGGAAATGAAAAGAATATATATATATATATATAATTCCCTACAGGCTACAGGGAAGTTCTTATATAGTTATTTCATTTCGTTCATCTCCAATAGTTAGATGGTATTGTATTTAAATTTCATAAGGCTCATCATACAAATTTTCAACTTTCAGTGCTTGTCAACCTCACATGAAAAAAAAAAAAAAAAGAAGATAATTGACACAAAATGCTCATATCATTTGTCCTCACTAGATCTTCATAGCTTTTCTTGAAAAATAGAAAATCGATGTTAACTTAGAAAATATATATAAACTGGCAGAATCGTGATAAAAATAAGTAAATGTATACATTTATAATAAAAATAATAATAAGTAATATTTCAAATAACTTTGACAATAAGTCGTTCCAAACAAATTAAAGTTTTGGCCAAACCATACAATAAAAAATATATCAATCTACGTAACTATTTTCAAAATACTATTTGATATGGGCATTGATCTTCTACGCCAACATATTCCATGGTGAGTGAAGAATCCCACCCAAAGTTGGAAAATTGACTAAGAATTTCGATGGTCTAAAAATTGCCTAAGAATTTCATGTCCATGTTTTGGCTTAGTTTCAATAACATACATATAATCAAATTAATTTATAAATAACAAATTTTTAAAATTTTCTTTTCATTGACAACATTAAGTACAGATCAAGTTACTTATTTTCATAATAACATCTATTTCATAGTCAAATAAGTAAATTTCCTCCTCTAGGGGGAAAAAAATTAAAAATAAAGTATCGAACTATTACATGGATAACAAGAATGAATCACATAAGATTAAATGATTCAACATAAACATCAAAATAAGTAGAACATGTTGGACATGTTTTTTATTTGAAAAAATAGAGAAGACGTTTTCAACCTATTGAAATTTTGCAATAGTGTCCTTAACCATATTTGTGTGGAATTGGTCCTCAATTTTTTAAAATCTGTATGACATTGGTCCCCCAATAACCAATTTTGTCCATGTCTTACATATTTCACTACTTGAGAGGTAAATATATAAGCATTTAATGAAAGGATTAAGTAAATATATAACATAAAGATTAAGGAAATATATAACATATAAAGATTTAAATTACTGTTCTTAATAATATAATCTTTTTGTGATAGAACTTCAAATTTTGGTGGTGTTATTGTCTTTTCAATCAAACTTGATTATTTAACTATCAAATGAATGATAAATACTTGCAGGGTTTAAGAAAATATTTTGATATAAAGAAACTTAGTTTGAAGACCTCAGTGCAATTTTGGCTCTATATTTTTTAGTATAAAATACATTTTTAAGTAGGAACATGAGTGTTGTGTTAAGCCATATCCAAATAAAGTTTTGCTAGAAATCCCAGACCCCTGCCCATGGGGGGACGTGTGTCCCCCTGAAAATCCCGGATCTATGTGGTCGGGAATAAGTAGCATGGATTATTCTATTTGTACAAAACCATATACAACATGGTTGACAACATGATCGAGTGGTGGCCCCCATAGTCACCACTCCAATAGAAAATCCCAGGTCTATGTGGTCTAGGATAAGTGGCATAGATTATTCTATTTGTACAAAATCATTACAACATGGTTGACAACATGATCAAGTGTCCCCCCCCCCCCCCCCCCCCCCCCCCCCCCCCCCCCCCCCCCCTCCTCCAGCCGCCCCTCCAATAGGACATCCTCCTAGCAAGGTCCTAAGTGGCATTTCCCATCCAAATATGAAAACATACTCGTGACTCTGTCACCGGTGTAGAATATTTATATACAATAATAATAAATTTTATGCTCCATTAATAAATGCAAGTAAGACATTTTCTGATTTTCATACCGACAGCTTGCAATTACCAAAGAAGAAATGAATCGAGATGAAGCAACAGTGATGAACTCCCTTCACTTCCTCATCCTCTTTTTCCCTTTCCAAAGCCATATCAACCCTTCTCTTCAGCTTGCCAAAATCCTAGCACGAAATGGTGTAAAGGTCACCTTAGTCACTACAAACAGTGGCCTCCAACAAATGAAATCTCTCCCAATTCTCAAGGGATTGTCGTACGCTTCTTTTTCCAATGAAAAGGATGATAATTACCAATACGACAATGGTTTTTCTAGCTATGTTGAGAGCTTGAGGAGCATAGGCTCCCAAAATCTCACGAATCTTATCGAGAAGTTTTCAGCCGAGGGTCAACAGGTGACCTTTCTAGTGTACAGCATCCTCCTTCCTTGGGTGGCTGTGGTGGCGCGTGAACTTCAGGTACCGTCTGCTTTTCTTTTTATACAGTGTGCGACTGCTTTTACCATTTATCACCGTTTCTTCAATAGCCAAGAAGGTATACATCGCCGAATGGATCCCTCGGTTTCAATAAAAATACCAGCATTGCCATTGTTTTCCTCCGGTGACTTACCCACCTTTCTCTTTCCTGAAAGTCCCACGAGTGGTTTGTTGATCCCTGTGATGCAAGAACATATAAAGGTCCTAGAAAAAGATCCCAGATCCTTTGTTCTTGTTAATTCCTTTGAAGAATTAGAACAAGAATCATTCAAAGATATAGCCAATATGAATGTTATTGCAGTTGGACCCTTAATGCCATCAGCTTTCTGTGATGGAAGTGACCTAACAGACAAATCATTTGGAGTCGATTTATTCAGTGTATCTGATGATTACTTTCAGTGGTTAGACTCGAAGCCTGAGCGTTCAGTGATCTATGTGTCATTTGGAAGCTTGGCAGTGTTAAAGAAAGAGCAAAAAGAAGAGATTTTTCATGCATTAAAGGAAAGCGAGAGGCCTTTTTTTTGTGTCCTCAGATCATCAAACAGTGAAGAAGAGGAAATGCATAAAATGATGGAAAATAGTCTGAATGGAGATGGGATAATAGTGCCCTGGTGTTCTCAAGTTGAAGTGCTAAACCACCGCTGTATCGGGTGTTTTGTGACACATTGTGGATGGAATTCAATACTAGAAAGTATTGTTTCTGGGGTACCAATAATATGCTGCCCGCAATTCTCAGATCAAACGACAAACGCGAAGATAGTGGATGAGGTTTGGGGCACAGGTGTGAGAGCAAAAGCAAATGGGGAAAGTATTACTGAAAGAGGTGAAATCAAGAAATGCTTGGACATTGTCATGGGGGATGGAAACAGAGGTAAAGAAATCAGAGGAAATGCTGGTAAATGGAGAGGTTTGGCTATAGAAGCTGTTAAAGAAGGGGGTTCTACCTACAACAATCTCAAAAAGCTTTTGGAGATTTCGGGATAGTAAATAACTAGGATATTCTATTTATGATGTTTTATTAATAGATTATAAGATTATAATTAGTTTAAGGGGATTTGGAAGTGTTCATTTCGTTAATTTTGCTTCAACTTTAAGGAATGTGAAAATACGGCCTTTGGCACTCATTAGACGAGAGGATTTGTATGAACTTTTCTAAAGTGAATGTCTCGTGTAACCCAATATCAGAGAACAGTAAACATAATGTGCGGAGATCAAAACGAGATAAAAAACCAAAGATTTTTCCATTTTTAAAACCAGATTTATTCCCAAGGTTTGTGTAAAGAGGAGGTTCAACAAATTAGACAATTATTATAACAAGCTACTGTAAGAAACATATATTGAAAACTGTAATAATAAATTGGACAAAGAATTAAAGATCAATTTCCACAGTTTGCCGAAAGGCAAAATACATCCAAAATCTACAGATCTTCGCGCCTTTGGAAGAATCACAAGTGCTTCCATCTCCAGGAGCACACTGCCAGTATGAATCTCGAAACTAAGGCGTTGAAATAAGAATTTTTGGCACTCAAACTATAACCACACAAGATCATAGTAAAAAACACAGTCTTCCCTCAAAACCGAAAGTTCACACAAGAACACAACCCTCTAGTAGTAGAAATCACCCAAGATAACACTATTTTAAGAGTTACAGAAAAATCAAAAGAGGGTTTTGATTTTTTCAGAGAGAAGATAAAGAAGTCTAGCAACCAGAGAGAGAAAGAAAGATCTGGAAGAAAAATCACACGCACGAAAACCCTAGAGGAGCCTTTCATAAGAGTCACCAATGGTCAGCCATCTTACGGTTGAGGGGTTAACACATGACATCATCTCAGGCATCCATTTTTAAGGGCCAAACGCGATTTTAAAACAGAAACACATTTTTCTTCCAGCAACAATTTTAACAGATTTAACAAAATTCAACCAATCAATACATCAAATCAATAAAGGGGTTGTTGCATCATTGTGCCACCCTTTCAATCTCCACTTTGGTACAATGATCCACATTCACTCACAGTATGGCTACTCCCAGTTTTCAGACATCATTAGCACTCTTACCAGATATTCAAATCGGCATGCAGTGATGTTCAACAAGTTCAAGTAGTCCAGAAACTTGTTGAGGGGCAGCACTTTTGTACCTGCATCAGCGGGATTAAAATTAGTAGAAATCTTTTCAAGTTTCACAACTCATTGTGAAATAATATCCCTTATAAAGTGAAGTCTAACATCAACATGTTTAGATCTATTATGCAAGACTGGATTTATACTTAAACGAATGGCTGACTGACTATTAGAATAAAGAACTACTTCTTTAACTAAGCCAAATTCATTTAATAACCCTTTTAGCCATATTCCTTCTTTCATAGCATCTGTTGCAGTAATATATTCAGCCTCGGTAGATGATAATGAAACTATCGTTTGGAGCTGGGATTTCCAGCTCATGCAAGAATTACATAAAGTATACATATAGGCTGAAGTGGACTTCCTATTGTCCCTGTCACCACCATAGTCTGAATCAGTATAACTTCTCAATACAACAGCTTCAATTTGTTTTCTGAACTGAATACCTAAATCTGATGTACCCTTAATGTATCTAAGAAGCCATTTCATGGCTTCCCAATGTGCTTCACCTGGATTTGACATATATCTACTTAAAACACTTATAGAACATGCTAAATCAGGCCTAGAACAAACCACAAGGTACATAATAGACCCAACTGCGTTAGAGTATGGTACTCTTGCCATCCTTTTTAATTCTTCTTTAGATTTAGGACATTGTTCATTTGAGAGTTTAAAATGGTTAGCCAAAGGCAGGCTTTCAATTTTTGAGTCAGACATAGCAAACTTGTTTAACAATTTCAGCATATATAATTTTTGGCTAAGACTTAGTGTGCCTTCTCTCCTATTTCTTTTAACTTTAATACCTAAAATTCTTCTCACGTGACCTAAGTCCTTCATTTTAAATTTTGATTTTAGTTTATTTTTGATATCTTCTATCTCTTTTATGTCATGACTTGCCAATAGCATGTCATCCACATAAAGGAGCAGATAAACAGAATTTTCTCCACCATTTCTGTAGGCCCCAGAATAAACTTCCTATGTAAAAACGATTTTGGTTTGTAAACAGAAAGTAAAAATCGTAGAAAAATATGAACACAAGATTTTTCGGTTGTAGCCCCGAGGTTCGACGACCGCTGCTAACGCCTAATCCCCGTTGAGCATCCCTAAGGATTTAGCTCGAATCCACTAAAAAAGCCCTTAAAATGGGCAAGAATGTTACAGATCTGAACCACAAAGGTTCGACACAAAGAACCTCTCAAACTCTTATCTCTCTCTTTACAAAACACTCACAAAGAATACACTACACTCAGTACACCATAATCTCATAAAGAATTACATAGATCATCCAGAAGATGAAATTTACAGAGAGAATTTCAGAGAAAAACACGAAGAAGACGAGAGGAATACAAAATAATACGATCTGCCCTAACCCTAGAATGAAAAGTCTATTTAAATGAAATACAATCAATCAGCTGATCCAACGGTCTAGATTACACCAAGTGTCAGCCATCCGTTTAAAACGCACCAATGCTCAAAAAATAAAACATGCTTTCAACCATTTCAGAATCTTCATTTAATTGGATCAAAGGACTTGGTTTACTTGGGTTGGCAAAACTGGACCATAAGTAATAAGTAGGCTAAAAACGTAGCAATCTATTTACAATCTCCACCTTTGCTTCATTTTTAAGACTCTCAATAGTGGACTCAAACTTCACCTCAGTTCATGTGCTCGGTTAAACCTGTCAAAACAAAAGAAAACTAGTTAGTTTCAAGATTCAATAACTTCAAAGAATCTTGAAATTTATTCAATGGTATTACCTTTGTGCTAGCATCTGCTGGATTCACTTTAGTGGATATTTTTTCCAGTTTTATATCACCCTTTTCAATTATATCCCTTATGAAGTGAAACTTAACATCTATGTGTTTGGTTCTATCATGAAACACTGGGTTTCTACTTAAGAAAATAGCACTTTGATTATCTGAACAAAGCTTCACCTTATTTTCTATAAACCCCAATTCATTTAATAGACCATTTATCCACAAACCTTCTTTTACAACGTCTATGGCTGCAATGTACTCAGCTTCAGTGGATGAAAAGGCAACTAATTTCCAAAGCTGAAACTTCCAACTAATGCAAGCGTTATTTATCACATAAAAATATGCAGTGGTAAATTTTCTGTTGTCTAAATTTCCAGCAGAATTACAATCAACATACCCTTTTAGTTTAGACCATTTTTATCAGATTTAAACATAAGTCCTAAATTCTGAGTACCTTTAGATATCTGATTAAGTGTTTCATAGCTTCCCAGTGTGTTTTACCTGGTTTGCTCATAAATCTACCTAAAACACTAACAGCAAAGGCAATATCAGGTCTAGAGCACACCATAACATACATGACAGATCCTATTGCATTTGCATAAGGCACATTTGCCATTCTACTATATTCATCTTCAGTTTTGGATGAATGTTCAACAGACAACTTCACGCAAGCAGATAAAGGAAGGCTAACTGATTTGGATTCATGTAGTGAAAACCTCTTAACTACCTTTTGAATATAGGATTCTTGTGTTAGAAATAATTTTCCATCTGTTTTATTTCTTTTTATTTCCATTCCTAATATTCTTCAGCAGGTCCTAGATCCTTCATTTCGAATTCAGATTTAAGTTTTTCTTTTAAGGAATCAATTTTAACTTTATCGTGACCAGCTAGAAGCATATCGTCTACATATAGAAGCAAATAGAAAAATTCAGAATTTCCCACACACTTGAAATAAAAACATGAATCATATTCAGATTTATTAAATCCAATGCTCTGTATAAAAGAGTCAAATCTCCTATACCATTGCCTAGGAGCCTGTTTCAAGCCATAAAAGGATTTCTTCAATAAACACACTAAGTTTCTATTCCTTTTATTTTCAAATCCCTTAGGTTGAGACATATATATTGTTTCATCTAATGTTCCATAAAGAAAAGAGGTTTTCACATCCAATTGTTCTAATTCTAAGACAAATTGTGCTACTAAAGCAAATAGAATTCTAATTGATGTGTATTTAACAACTGGTGAAAATGTGTCATTATAGTCAATTCCTTCTCTTTGTGTGAAACCCTAGGCTACTAATCTTGTCTTATATCTATTATTGCCTCCTTTCAAATCACCTTCTTTTATTTTATACACCCATTTACAGTCTACCAGTTTGCAGCCAGTAGGCTTTTCCACTAAATCCCAAGTATGATTCTTATATAGAGAATCAATTTCTTCTTGCATTGAAGCAAGCTATTTTGCTGAATCTTTGCAAGAAACAACCTTTTCAAAAGAGGCTGGTTCAGAACTTAGGGTTTCCGATTCAATATGTTCAGATACATAGTCTGCATGGAAGAATCTAGAAGGGGTTCTAATTACTCTTCTTTCCCTGTCTCTAGCAAGTTGATAATCTTGCAGATCAGTAGTAGGTTAACAGCTTGGTTGTCATTTAAGTTTTCATCAGTTATAACTTTGGTTTGTTCTAGAGGTTGCTCCACCTCAATTTGAGTTTGATTTTGATCATTTTGTATAACAATTTCATTACTGGTAGACACAAAGTCTTTATCAGTCAGTTTTTCTCTTTTGTTGTCACTAAGACAAGGGAAAACCTCTTCATTAAAATAACTTATCTACTTATTATGACTTTGTAACCTCTGATTTCTTTCAACCACAATCTGTAACATTTAACTCATTCTCCATACCTAGAAACACACACTTACTGGACCTGAGATCTAATTTAGAGCCATTTTAGTGTGAATAGGCTGCACAACCAAAAGTTTTTAGATAAGAATAATTTGGCATGGATCCAGTCCAAAGTTTTTCAGGTATTTGATAGTCTACAGAACTTGAAGGACTTCTATTTTTAAGGTAACAGGCTGTCTTAACAGCTTCTCCCCAGAATATTTTGGGTAGACCAGAACTTATTAGCATGCATCTAGTTCTTTCAAGGAGTGTCATATTCATCCTCTAAGCAATTCCATTTTGTTGAGGAGTATAAACAATAGTTCTGTGTCTTTGTATCCCATTATTGCTACAGAATTGGTCAAATTCCACATTGCAGAATTCTAAACCATTGTCTGTTCT